GACCACAAAATGCGTATGTAAGCAAACCAAACCAATAAATTTGTGTACAATAGGAAGGGGGCGCGAAAAGAGATGATTGTCATCGAATAGACCGCCGCCTTCCCTGTCCAATGCGCACAATAGGTGATTGCAATTTAGACTTTTTTTTTCTCTCTCCCCGAAAAAACCGTTTTCCAGTAATGATTACAAACGAAAATGAAAAAATATGATTCAATAAATTACCGGTGCGCGTCCCTTGAACGGCAACAATGTGTCGTAAAAGTCATGGGCACCGCCGTCGCCGGACGTCCGGAGCATCGACCGAACGATGATAGAAAACGGCACTATATGGTGTCCGGCAAAAGTGCCAAATTCTCACGTCTATATACAATACGAATACAATAACAATAATAATAATGAGAGACGAAAAACACACGAGTAATAAAGTAGAAATCCGAGTTACTTGGGATATAATCAATTTAACCGATATTTTGACACGGAACGTTTTGCCACCATTGTCGATTCTATTAGACCGCAAAAGTTCACAATGCAATGAGGTGTTGTCGATGCACTCATTAAGTCCCTAACTCGAGTATTCTCCTCTTTCACTGAAAGGGCGAGTTTCGTTATTTGCATGTTCTGTGCCATTAAGTCTTTTGACGAACATCTGTTGTGCGATATTGTGTGGCCAATGACTTTTAGGAGACGTCATTTGTTAGGAGAGACCGAAGTAACAATATCTCCGGTAAAAGACACGTTTCCATAATTGTCAAACATATTCTCACAGATTTGTACTTTTTTTTTGTTTGTATTGTAATTTTATTTTTGTTTCCTGCAAAACATTTGACTACTTTTGTTCGTTCTTCTGTGATTTTCACCTGGAAACCCGCCATTTCAATACTATATTAGATGGACCGTTTAAAGAAAGACAATTTTGTTTTCATTAAAATACAATACAATAATAATATTTATATTATTTCTTCCATTGATAGTACATTTAAACCTTAACACACAAATTTGCAGCTGCGGTTTTTTTTAAGGAACTTTGACACAAGTCATTTTCAATGTAAAACATAAATAACGACGAAGAATATAATCGAATTTTTAATATTAAAAAATATTTTGTCACAATTTTTCAAATTAATCTGCTTTTCTTCTATATTATTATTATTGTAATCTCAATACATTTTCTTAAGACTATTCTAAAGATTCAACCCATTAGATTAATAGTATATTCAACGTTTTGTGTCATATTCAATCATTTAATAGTTTTACACTAAAAAAATATATAACAGGTTTAGAGTATTATAGCATTAGACACGTTCTATAATAAAAACGATTATTCGTAGAAATACAATAACGTATAAACTTATTTTGATCATAGCAATTAAACGAATTGAACTTTTACAACGTGAAATTAAAGAAAAAACTATGTTTCCTGAATTACTATACATTGATCGTTTTTTGCACTTTGCTTTGTTAAACAAATAATACTAAGTATAATAATGGTAAATAAAATACATTAGAATAACACGAAAGAAAATCATTTCGTATGACATTGTTNAAAATACATTAGAATAACACGAAAGAAAATCATTTCGTATGACATTGTTGTGCACACAACGATGATGGCTTTTAAATCCATTAGGTTCATACAAATAACGTGACAACAGTTTTAATGCACTTGTTTTGCGATTGAGTGCATTTTGATTTAAGATGAAACTATTGGCATAATGCTTCTGCGACGAATAGTTATTATTTTTGTAAGATGTAAATTAATGAAAACGTTTTTTTTATTGTGTGTAAAAACCAATTGGCCGCACGTGGATAAACTTTTAATTAACAGGATGCGATTCTTATGTTTTACCAACACTGATGTTGAATTATCATTAGACTGGTATTCTAGATTTTTATTTTTTACCATTGTTGTGATTGTCACCAAGGAAACTACTAAAATTAAACATGGTTATTATTCCTGATTTAAAAACAGAATAAACAAAAGTATGTCAGAAAATATTTTGGAACCTCAACTTACAGTAAGTATTCTATACGGACCACATAACGTTCTTGGTTTTGTCAAACACCGCACAGAAAGATTAGATGCTATTGACGGTGAGTAATGATTAAGTTTTATTATATTTATACATGTTAACTATTTAATACAAACTAGATGCGTTGACTAAACTTGGATTTAAAGTTAATAAGATTCAGTGGCATTTTCCTGAAATGGTTGCGTTTTCACTCGAGAATGAAATTGTATTTACATGCAACATCAAATACCTTAAGTTTGATGAATGTTCGAAGTGTCCTCTTAAGGAAAAAATTATTAATATTTTGGTGACTCGACGCAACATTTTTTGGAATATACTCAACAATAAAATGCACAATTCATTTTCAATTAATAACGATTTAGAAGAGTAATTCTATTAGTACTCAATTTATACTTGTAATTTTAATAGACGTAATAAAATTACAAATTCTAGAATTTCTAAAAATATAACTAAATATGTAATTTAAATAAAAACGAATTTAGGTCTGATTAGACATGAAGGTAGTCCAAGTTAAATTATGTATTTTTAAAACTATTTCTATAGTATCATAATGTTTGCGTTGGCAAAATCACGTAGAAGCCATACAAATTTAAAAACAAAAACGCAATGAAGCCATAGGAAAACATAAAATTTAAGCAGCCATAAAAATATAAAAATATTAAGAAGCCGTTAAAATGTTAAGAATTGTACAAATTTAAGATGTCTTAGAAATTGATAAAATTTAGGAAGCTACCGAAATGTAAAACAAAAAATTTAAGAGACCAAATAAATCATCTTTATTTAAAATACAACATTGACCTACCAATTAAAGGCTTAATGACAACCAGCCACCTATACACTGTCGATTGTTAGATTAATAACAATACACGTATAATGCAATATTACTTAAATAGATATGGTTTCCAATGACGGGTTACTTTCAATTTATGTTAAATATTGCAAGGTTTGCGTGTCTCGATTAGTATATTATTACAATTGCAGCTCAGTGTATGCTCGAACAGTGTATCGACTCGAGCTACCGTAAACGCGATAGAAATCTTATCTTTGGTATCGATAGGAACGTCGTCCTGCCATGTTGTATGTAAATTGACATTTTTAAAGAATATTGTAATGTACACGCGGTGGCGGCATAGACAGGTGCCTATTAAAATACATAAACCACCGCGTATGCACCTGCCGTTTAGCACGACATGTTGCGGTTTCAGAGTGCCGCGACGGCTAAAGGGTANTTGCGGTTTCAGAGTGCCGCGACGGCTAAAGGGTAAGTAAACACAAGTGATAGAGATGGGTGCCATAAAAAACTAGAAATACCCTGCACGAAGCGAATAATTGAATTTATCAATTACGAAATTTTAAAAATAATCGATTTCATGGTAGGCATGCACTTCATGGTCACAGTAAAATATTTTTGGTATCATTACACATGGTTCGATAGACCGTCAAAGTGTACATTTTATATGTCGCGTTCCCTCGATTATTAAACCCTTAATGGGTTATCATCGTGGTTTAAACTGTGGTCAATTATAAGTGCTACTCGTGTGGACGATACACACATATTTAGATCCGTTTTTGTGGTTTGCCAGCTACCACGATTACACGTAAATGCTTCGTATGTCCTTTCAGTGTATGCGTTTGTTTTGTTAAACCGATAATACTGTTTAAAAATAAAAAAAATGTCGTGCTCTACTACAACAACAATCTTCGGTAGTATTTTCAAGATTACACAGATTTTATGTATATATTAAGATAATGTTTTATGGAGAGATACTATCATCGATGGTCCGCCTAACCGTGTGAACTATAGGTGTTTGAAAACCTACTGACAGGTTTAAAGAATGTAATGATTTTTTATTTTCAAAAAAAAAGAAAAGAAAAAATTATATATCTGTACAAAACTAACATGCAATTTCAGATAATTTGATTAGGCGCGTTTGTTTATTTAAACCAGAAAACGTGACGGGTGTTAAATAATAGGGTCGTTCATCTTTTCACCTAAGGGCTATCCCGCACATGGTAATACTTAATGTTTGTCTTTATTTTAGTTATATTTATTTTCTTAAAAAAATATTAAGTGTACTGTTTGCTGTTATTATTCGCACCAATTTTCACGACTAATTGATTTTATCTATCTGTGTATTTTAATTAATACATTGTTATTTAAGTTTAACGATCATATTGTCGGAGTGTTGCATTTAAGATCTGTTCAAATCATACCCGAGAAGTTTACAATATCAATTGCAATTATTCAGGGGATGACAGTTATCACACTTTTTAAGGTTTGTCCCTTTAGAGAAAAATTGGGAAAGTTACTCCTATTAAATTTATGACACGTATGTTCGGTCCGTTTTACTATAAAGTGTTTTCTATATAAAAGATATCCGTATTTCGATTTAGACGAACTTCCGGTCATCTATAACTGCCACTGCCCCCCGGCGCTCGATATTTATGTACTTCCTGGTGGTACAATCTGTGCATTCATTCTTTTATTATTTAAAATGACCAGATAGTTACTGACAAAGTTCATGATTCGTTCTACATTGAACTAAAATTAATAAATATTATATTATGCGTGCAATTATTTACTTAGTAATACAATTTTTCCTTAATGTTAAGGGCAATGTAAATGTATTACAAATAAACAATCTGAAAAACGAGATTATAAATAAAATTTATTGAACTTATGATTGACACTGATAAAATCACCAAATTACAAAGTAAAAATATAAATCAAGTTCAAATATTTTATGTATTTACTGACACTAAAATAATTATTGTTGTAGTGCCTGCAATTATTGCTCTTTAACGCAACTTTATTGTCATATATTGTTAAATCGACAATATTAATTTTTAAAATTAATAGACCTCAATTTAATAAACTATAATCAATGCAGTGTATATTGAGTTGCTTTCGACATAACCAATAAGGAACTATTTTGATTTAAATTACTTTTATGTACATAACTAAAATTTTTAAGTTCATTTGTAATTAAAAATTAGTATAATTTTAATATAAATTAACTTGAATGTAATCCAATTCATTTGAAGATCTAATAAAAAATGTTTTTCAATTAATCTGAAATACTCAAATTATACATAACTTATAGTTATAATATACAACTTTATAATAGAATATACGTATAGAATTTCTAAGCCACCGAAAGAAATGTCAATAAAGGGTTCTATTGTTAAACTCAGATAAGTAATTTTCTAGATTGCACTCTTTTTGATTAAAAAAAGTAATATTTCGTAGGCACGAAATTTTTGAAAATTTAAAAACATAATTCTAAAGCTATACAGCTGCAGATTAAATAATAAGTTAAACACGGTTTGTTTACCTTAAAACAATATTATTACTAATGGTAAATACTTTAATAAATAAAACCAAATTAATTTAATCTAAAATTATTATTCTTTAAGTTTTTTTAAATAAAATTTAATTTTAAGGATATTCAAACATAACTTTTTAAAATAAAAATCAAGCAATTGGTTAAATTACACGTTAAACGTTGATACTTTAACATTTTTATATACCATCAAAGAAATATATGTTACAACCAAGTTTTTTTATCAGAAAAAAAATATATTATAAATTGATTTTGATTAACAGTTTGTTTTATTGACGCTTGTTAATTTTACTGTTTTAATTAAAAAACTTGTACACAAAAAACTGTTATTTAATTTTCTGAAATAAATCATTTGAATTTTAAAACAATTTATCGACCTACTACAGTAATTTGCATGTTGTAGGTAGCTAATAGAAACTGTTTTTTAAACGTCTGGTTCTGCTCACGCAATCATCAATATTCCAGCTATCCAATGAATCTCTATTATTATTTAGCATTCTCACGGTTCAGTAAAATATAACTAATTGCTGACCAGTTTATTAGAAGAATATCAAAAAATATGAGTTCCCAGAACGCACCTAGCCCCGTGGCCAGGTGTCAAAACGGTTGAAATCCGACACGGATCAAGTATATTGTACTGACCCTGTTTTTTAATCGTCCAGCGACTTTAAAATCTTGATTGACAGCAGCGTTGGACTCTTGCAAATAACGAATCAAGAAAAAAAAACTAGTAATCATAATAAACGGTTATTCAACGAACTTGTTGCTATAACAATAGTAGCATCTCGACCTTTGACATAGACAATCAATTATTATTAGAGCACATGTACAATAATGATATCATTGTCACCGTCGTACCATTCGCATATTAAGTAATGAACAAACCACAAGTAATTTAAAGGGATAACGGTAAGGCGTTGAAAGACTGGAATTATCGTTTTTTTACCTATTGACTATTTTTCCCTATACTATATATTATTCGTATCAAACGTTTAAGCATATATCGGTTATAATAAATAATACGAAGACTAATTTCTACATATTCACAGAACGACTGAGACTTTTGATTATGTTTCTTTTAAACAATGTTTTAAAATTACCAATTATATTTTACACAAAAATTAAATTTTTTTATTAATTAGCAATTCCTGTTCAATAGTATATTTGAGTACGAAAGTTAAAAGAAATAACTAAGACAATTATTATTATTTTAATATTAAAATAAAAAAAGAATAATCCGCTCATAGATATTGTAACTATATACATTTCGAACTAATAATACAAATTCTATTGAAAATACCACTTGAATCAAAATTTCATGGCTTAATGTAAATAGTACCAAATATGTAATAAAAGCTTATTTTTTTTTACTCCTGACACGTATAGAATTTAAAATCATTAAAAACAAAATGTACACTTTTCTCAGTCATTCAAAGTCCATGAACAGTCTGTATACATTGTGATATTATTCCAAAATTAATAATAATCCAGAACAAAAATTACTGTCCAACTAAAGAATTTAACTTTCAATACTATTTCACAATATTTTACTTGTAAAAAAATTTAAATAAAGTTTAATAAAAGTACCTAATTTATACTCCAAATATTTTTTGGCAAGTATTATTTATAATATGAATTTACTAATGAGTTTTTATTCGCGTAATAATTTTATCTAAAACAATTAAAATAATTTTAACTTCTGTCGCTGTAAAAAAGTTTGGACATACCTAGTACCTAAAAATCTATAACAAATATTTCTATAGTATGTAGTTAAAGCTATGTCGAAAGTTTATCTGAAAAACCAAACGATAAAGATTAATACCATCACTTATCAAAATAAAAAAACGGATTTTAGCTGAACAC